TTTTGCCTCTCAGCTGGGCAAAAAAATAAGAATATTGAGACCCACCAAATTACAACTACAACGCACTAAAAGGTCATAATCCATGATTTGAAAAATACCAGGTTGGCGCATTCATTAGTATAAGTTTTGGAGGGCAATTTAATAATTGTACACATTACTCTTTTTTTTTAATATGTGAGTATTCTTCATTAACTATTCTATATCTTAATTAAAAATTGTTTTATTTCAGCATATTACAGGGATACAAATGTTTGGGTTATATATATATTGCCTTTGCCCCACACGAATCTGAGCTTCAAGCGTGTCCATCCCCCAGACAGTGCGCACTGCACCCATTAGGTGTGTATATACCCATCCTCTCCTCCACCCTTCTATCTGCCCAACACCTGATCCATGTTATTAGTATATGTGCATGTAAGTGTTGATCAGTTAATACCAATTTGATGGTAAGTACATGTGGTGCTTGTTTTTCCATTCTTGTGATACTTCACTTAGTAGAATGGGTTCCAGCTCTATCCAGGATAATACAAGAGGTGCTAGATCACCATTGTTTTTTGTGGCTGAGTAGAACTCCATGGTATACATATACCCCATTTTATTAATCCACTCACGGATTGATGGGTACTTGGGTTGTTTCTACACCTTTGCGATTGTGAATTATGCTGCTATAAACATTCTAGTGCAGGTGTCTTTTTTATAGAGTGTGTTTTGTTCCTTTGGGTAGCTGCATCAAATGTTAGTTCTACTTGTAGATCTTTGAGGTATCTCCATATTACTTTCCATAGAAGTTGTACTAGTTTGCAGTCCCAACACATTATTTTTTGACCCAATTCTTTCTCTTGTAGAAATTGATCTTACAGGAATATTCATACTGATATACAAAGAAATGTACATCTGGATGACTGATGCAGCACTGAGTATGAGGGAGAAAAAATTAGAGACAATATGATGTCCATCAGTGTAGGGCTGGTTCAATATTGTGTCACTGTAGGGTTTGTCCATACAATGGACTACTGTACAGCCACCAAAAATAGTGAGATTGCTTCTAGCATTCTGACATGGAAAGATATTCAGGTTACATGAAAAAGGCAAGTTAACTTTAAAACTCATTACAAAGCTACAGTAATCAAAACACTGGTACTGGCATAAAGATGGATATAGACCAGTAGAACAGAATTGAGAGCCCAGAAATAAATACAAACTTCTATAGCCACTTGATTTTTGACAAGGATACTAAGGCCATTCAATGGGGGAAAGAATAGTCTCTTTAACAAATGGTGCTGGGACAACTGGATATCCACATGCAACAGAATGAAGTTGGACTTCTATCTCACTTCATCTACAAAAATTAACTGAATGAATCAATGACTTTGGTCATATTCTTGATATTGTTCTTTGAAGCACAAAAGTTTTTAATTTTTAATTTTTTTTTTTTTTTGAGACAGAGTCTCACTCTATCCCCTGGGCTAGAGTGCCGTGGCATCAGCCTAGCTCACAGCAACCTCAAACTCCTGGGCTCAAGTGATCCTCCTGCCTCAGGCTACCCAGTAGCTGGGAGTACAGGCATGCACCACCATGCCCAGCTAATTTTTTCTATGTATATTTTTAGTTGGCCAATTAATTTCTTTCTAAATTTAGTAGAGACGGGGTCTCGCTCTTGCTCAGGTTGGTCTCGAACTCCTGAGCTCAAAGGATCCTCCCACCTCGGCCTCCCAGAGTGCTAGGATTACAGGCGTAAAACATCGGGCCTGGCCAAAAGTTTTTAATTTTTATGAAGCCCAAATATAAAATTACCTTATGACCTAGCAATTCCACTCCTAGGAATTAATAACCCCAAAGGATGGAAAAATATGTCCATACAGACACTTGTACACAAATTTTTATAGTAGCAGTATTCATCATAGCCACAAGGTGGAAAAAAAATCCAAATGTCCATCAACAGATGAAAGGATAAATAGTGGTATATCCATACAGCGGAATGCTATGTAGTCATAAAAATAAATGACAGACATACTGATAACATGCTACAACTAGGTGTGGTGGCACATGCCTGTAGTCCCAGCTACTCAGGAGGTTGAGGGAGGAGGATTGCTTTAGCCCAGGAGTTTGTGGTTGCAGTGAGCTATGATGACACCACTGGACTCTACGCACCAACCTGGTATTTTTCAAATCATGGATTATGACCTTTTAGTAAATAAATAAATAGAGCTTGCCACTCTTCAGGGAACTAACTGGCAGTGCCATCCAGGACTGGGATGTGGACCCAGGTTTGTTAGGGCCATATAGTTACAGTGACTTCCTCACTGCTATTAATTCTCATGTGTCCCTTTGTTGCCTCCCCACCTGAATGATAAAATCAGGAGCCCTACTTTTTGGAGCCTGCAGAGGTTAATTAGGTGTGGAGTTGGTGGGAAGCCAAGTCAGCACCTAAGGGAGGCATTCTCCAGGAGGACAGAAGAGTCCCACAGAAGCCAGACTGAATGCTTCTTCTTTTTTTTTTTTTTGAGACAGAGTCTCACTTTGTTGCTAGAGTGAGTGCCGTGGTGTCAGCCTAGCTCACAGCAACCTCAAACTCCTGGGCTCAAGCAGTCCTCCTGCCTCAGCCTCCCGAGTAGCTGGGACTACAGGCATGCGCCACCATGCCCGGCTAATTTTTTATATATATATTTGTTGGCCAATTAATTTCTTTCTATTTTTTTATAGTAGAGACAGGGTCTTGCTCTTGCTCAGGCTGGTTTCGAACTCCTGACCTCGAGCAGTCCGCCCGCCTCGGCCTCCCAGAGTGCTGCTAGGATTACAGGCGTGAGCCACTGAATGCTTCTAACCTACATGCTCTCTGATAGTGTCGGTTACCCCTGGCTCCTGCACGGACCCCCAAGGCAGATTCCCGGCCAGGGACCTGTCTCTGCTTGGGTCTTCAGCACCATCATTTCTCCTTCTAGACATCCTTTTAATCAGCCACAGATTAAAACTCATTTCCTTGGAGAAGCCCTTTCTGACTCCACTCAGGCCAACCTACGTAGCCCCTGCTTTGTGGTCCCAAGGCCCTGGGCTTCTGCCTCCAAGGCACTCAACTCCCAGGACAGGAACTATGAGCTTGTCCTTTCCCCACTAGATCCTCAGCAACTGGCAGCTCAGCACGCATAGGTCCCCAAAGCATTAGTGCTGATGAGCCCAGGAATCTGAGGGAGACCGAGGAGCCCAACCTCTCCCAGGAAGTAGGAGAGTAAGGACTTGTGGTAATCTTCTTTGGGTAACTTTCTTAACCTCTATGTGCCTCACTTACTCATCTGTAAAATGGGGCTAATCTGCACATAAAGTATTAGAGTATGAGTGGGAGTGCTCAGTGTCCACTATTGTGGTTGTGGTTGTTTGCTTTACAGATGGGGACATGGAGGCCCATGGAGGACATGCCAGATCCATAGTCTCAAAGTTGGAAAGAGGGGAGCGAGCCTTGGACTCTGTCCTGGGCTCTGACCTTCAATGTTTGCTTCTTTTCACTCTACACCTAGGGTTGTCTCTTCCATTTGTTCCACTTGTTCAGTCAACAAACAATTACTGGGTGCCTGTTGTTTGCCAGTCCCCAAGCTGGGTGTTGTATAACTGAAAACAAAAAAAAAGCTTCTCACTAGAGAGTAGGATAGATGGTGGGCATTAGTGTAAAATCCTCCAGAGCTCAAATTCCAGCTTCTCTACTTTCTGGCTATGATATTGCCATGTTTCCTCACCTCTCTGAGGCTTTCTCTTTTATTAAAAAGGAAAAATAAGATCTCCTAGTGGGAGACCTGAAATTAGGCATTGGCTCAACACATGACAAATGGGAGCTATTACTATCTTCATCATTTTGTTTTTATTTATTTCTTTAGAGACAGGGCCTGGCACTGTCATCCAGGCTGGAGTGCAGTGTGATTGTAGCTCACTGCAGCCTCCAACTGCTCGGCTCAAGGGATCCTCCTGCCTCAACCTCCCCAGTAGCTGGGACTACAGGTGCACTCTGCTACACCTGGCTAATTTTTATTTATTTATTTTTTTAAGGCAAGCATGAAAATTAGGTTTATTGAAGCGAGAAAGATAGGATTATAGAGCAAGAGCAACATATAGGTTTACAGAGCATAATACATACTCCACAGATGACCAGACCCATTGTCACAGCACGAAAAGAGCAAAAGGGAGGGCATAAAACGGCTAATTTTTAAATTTTTGTTTTAGTAGAGCCAGGGTCCTTCCATGTTGCCCAGGCTGGTGTCAAGTGATCCTCCCACCTCGGCCTCCCATAAGTGCTGGGATTACAGGTGTGAGCCACCGTGCCTGGCCTTATTTTTAATAACCAACCTGTGCACATGGTAGCAAATTATTCCCCCTTGTCCCGGTACCCAGGATCCCAGTTCTCCTGTTCGAGGCAACCACAGTTAACTTGTGTGTCTTATCGCTCAGCTGGGGCGCACACCCTCACCTGTCCCTGTACACAAACGGAAGCACCCACCAACGCTGTTTTTTCTGTTCCTTCCTTTTTTCACCTAAGGTACCTAGGAAGTCGTCCCATATTAGTGCATATTGAACACGTATCGTTTTAACGTCTGCACATTATTCCATTTACGAATTATTTTTTAACTTGGCTGCCGTTACTATGAACAGCCTGGGAACTGCAAGGACCCAGGAGGAAACATGGAGTTGTAGAGCTTGGAGTCCAGGGACTGGGTTCCGACCCAAGCTCTGCCCAGAATTGGCTGTTACTTCGGGCTTCATTTTCTCCCTCGTAGGCTGCCGGGAGGAGGGCAGGGGTGCAGAGAGGACCAGCCCCAGCGTCCCAGCACGGACCAGGGAGTAGTGCGCGCAACTTAAGCCCACAGGCAGCTCAGTCACTCGGCGCAGCTACTCCGTTACACGTACAGCACTAAACGCATTGAGCACGGCGGCACAACCAAGCTCAGAACCGTTAGCAGGCCCTCCCAGCCTTGGCACACGACCTCGGGGCAGCACGCTCGGCACCAACTACTCACCTCCATTTCAGCAGCTTTCCCCTCGTCCCCAAGTACTTTCTGAAGGTTGCAGCCTTCCCTGTCCCTTTAAGTGGGCTGACCCCGAGGTCTTCTACTTCCGCCACGAAGCAGCATGGCGAGGGCGCGGGGGAGAGAGCGGGGTGAAGGCAAGGAGAGAGCTCCCCACATAAAGATGGCGACCCCCTGGCCACGGCGTTCGCGCCCGGCGGTGACGTCACTTCCTGGGCGGAGGAGGCTGAGTGGTGCAGTGAGGGACAAACAAAAGGAGGCGCCGGAGGAGCGCTGCGGCCGGCAGCGGGACGGAGTGGCCAGGGGCTGGGGCTGCCTGCTGGGCGGCCGGGCGCGGCGAGCCCAGGTGAGTGGGTGGGGTGGGGAAAGGGATGGTGTTGTCACCTTTCCAAACCCACTCACACACACCCCCAGTCATCTGCCGGGCCCCAGGCGCTCCGGCCGGCTGGGGCTCTGCTCGCCAGGGCCGACCCCTCGGGGGCCTTCCGTGGCCGCTCTGTTTGGCCTACCTCCGGGCTCCCCCATGCCTCGGTCTCTGGGGCCCCACCCTGTCCCCGGCGCCGCGGCGCGCGAGCCCCCTCCCAGGCACCCCCGAGTTTCCGCCTTGGCTTCCCCATGTCCCCTTGTCATTCCCTGGGTCCCCCGGATCCTTACCCGTCTGCACACACACTCCCATTCCCAGAGGTTCCACTTCTGGGCTCACTCCTTGCTAGTTCTTTTTCGTTTTCAAAAAGATTCTCCCAGCTGTCTTTTCCCGGGCCCCTTCTCTTCCTTCGGACCCCTCTCTGCCCTTATCTGGCGGGGACAGTGCCCTGACTTGGGGGCAGGATCCCTGGCTAGGTTCTTGGGGCCTGTCTGGGCTGGGGTTTCTGGGAACACCCTACCGGAGTGTGAAACCCCAGCCCCTGCCCCTGTTCTGTGCATCCAGATGGGCCTGAGAGCCAGATCTAGTGTGGTCCGGGCCTGGTCCAGCTGTAGGTGAGCCGGAGGTCAGCAAAGTTGGTTCTCTGGCTGATGGAACATAGCTTGGGGTTCTTGGGGGTCATGATATTGGCTGCTCTTGGTGACTGCTTTTTCCCCTTGGTCTGATCTGGAGTGAACCAAGATGGGCCGGTTCTTGGCTGATGCAATTGTTGCCTTTTTTGGGAAGGAGTGATGAGTTGGGGGTTGTCTGGCAGCCTCCTCCTGATGGGGACTTGGCTGGAAGGGTGAGGTGGCTCCTGCGTGAGCCACACTTCCACTAATTTCTCTTCCCCTGCCCTACCTCAGGAAGCCTTTTAAGGATGAGGTGTGGAGGGAGAGCACTTGGTGAGAGAAAAGGAGTGTGGCCCTAATTGAGGAGGAGGGATTTGGGGGAGCCTAAAGTTCCCAAGGGCCTTTTCCACATTTTCTGTTAGGAGTATTGGTCACCCCTCCAAGCTGTATTCTGCCCTCTGGAGCAGAGGCACTGCCAGACAGACTGTAGGAAGGGGAGGAGATGGGCTGTTGGTGATACTTCCTGTGGAGGGGATGGGGGAGTGGGAGTTTGTTCAGGGGGACTGGACAGTGCTGGTGGCTCAGCCACACTGGTGTTGCTTCTGTAAAGGTCAAGTCATCTTCTGGCTCATGAGGGGAGGCAAGGACAGATGACTTGTGCCGGAGGGCTGGCTGCTGTAGAGATGCCGGGGATGAATGACTGGCCTCTGCTTCCTTGCCTTCCCAGTCTTAAAGATTCTTTGGGGTGTAGTCTAACACCCCGCTGCCTTCCAGGGACTGTGGGGTACAGAGCAGGGGCTCAATAAATGTTTATGATTATCCCCCAGAACTCGACCAGATGTGTGTGTTCTCCATCTCTTGCGCACACTGCTAGGAAGCAGTTTCCTTGCAAACTTTGAGTGACCTTTCTGGACAGTGGGGGCTCCTGAGGATTGCCCCAGTGGGTCAGAACGCAAGGAGATGGCTGGGCCTTGGGTTGCTGCCTGGCCCGGCCCGGACCTTGGCTGTAGGAGTTAGAGGGAAGGAATCAACTTGGTTCCTGATTTCCTCTCTGAGAGTAGAGGTGATTCCAGGTTTGGCCTAAGACCTCTTGGGGATTCAGGTGGGATGGATGCGGGGCCCTAGAGCCCAGCACACCATCTCTCCATCCCTTGATTCATTCATTCATTCAGCCATCCTTTAGTAAGAACCTGTCCTGGGCCGGGAATGGTACTAGGAAAACATGGTCCCTGGCTGGCTCAGAGCTGCAGTCTGGGAAGAGAGGCAGCCAGGAAAACACATAAGTTCTGATACACTGTGGCCAGTGTAATAATAGAAATACTACAGAGGCAGTCCAGAGGAAGGAGGAATTTATTTGCTCTGGGTGAATATGTAGGAGATAGTCAACATATGCTTCCTGGAAGAGGAGGGAGAAGAGTCAGTGACAGGGAGTCCAAAGGTCTAGTCCCACCTCTGCCATGGGCAAGTGACTAGACTGCCTAGCCTCAGTGGGTGCCCCATCCTCGCAGAGGAGGGCAGGGTGGAGTAGAGGTTGACCTGGATGGCCTCTGTGCCTTTACACTTCTAGGTACTTTACTGCCCAGTTGCCACCACCCCATGTGAAATTGCTGGGTTATTGACCTGTCTCCGTGAGAGGGGAGACCATCTTCTGCTACCCTTTTCCTGGCACAGTGCCTGGAACTGAGGTGGTCTAATAAATACTTAGTGGCACAAGTGATTGAAAGGCTCCACAATCCCTCCCAGGTCTGTTCATCTCCCTCTGTCTACCCTCCTTCCTGGCTAATTCCAGCTAATCCTTTGGCCTTCCCCAGTGGCTGTGCCACACTCCCAGCTCCTGGCTGGTTTGGGTGCTCCCTGCTGCCCTATTATAGCTGGTTACACTTCGCTCTCCACCTTGCCAATTTGTCTTGTTCAGCTTCGTGAACAGCTCTGAGCAGAGTGTCTGGTGCGTGGTAGATGCTTACCAGTGCTTATTGACTGGTAGAGATGCTGAGTGGGGTCTGTGTTTGGGCTGGAGTCTGAGCAGAGGCTGGGTCTTTGCCTGCCCAGCTCACCCCACTGAGGCTCATCTTTTGCTGCTTCCCACCTCCAGCTCTGGCTTTAGCCATGCTGAACCACTCAGCATTCTCTAGATGCCGTGTCCTCTCCCCTCCAGGCAAACATGTGCTCTGCCTTCTGGCTGGAATGCTCTTTTTCAACTCCTACTATTCTTCAGGAGCCAACACAGGCAACTCCTCCTCCTGGAAGCCTTCCTCGACCCCACAGTCTGGATCTAGTGCTCCTCTTGGACTCACCCCAGCAAAGCCCTGGGTTCTCCAGGGCTTTGGACAAATTGCCGATTTGTCATCTCCTCAGTTAACCAAGTTCTGTGAGGGAGGGTCTCTGTCTGAATCTCTCTTGTCACCGGGAGCCCAGGCCAGGGCCTGGCACCAAGCAGGCTCTCAGAAAATGTTGGCAGCACAGCAGGTAACTCTGATAGTCACACATTCGCCTGCTGACAGTAGCTCTCACTTCCTCGTAGGGAGGCAGCGTCCATGGAACGAAAGGAATGCCAGGACCCTGCCCAGGCAGACGTGGGCCGGCCTCAGCACCGACAGCCAACGCACAGATAGCGGAGCCGTCCTGGGGTAAGGACTGGGTCCCCCTCCTGCCAGGCCAGCTCCAGCTCTGGTCAGGTGCCTTTCCCAGCCCAGGGAGCAAAGGGCAGCATCTCTCTCTCCACAGTCCTTTGCCCTTTTCACTGTAGGTCCAGAGAGTCCAGGACAGAAGCAGCAGACAACAGAATCATTCTCTTCTCCCTTCTCCTGACTCAGTGGCCAGCTGAGTAATGTCTGATTGCTGTACTCTTTGAATGCCAGTGTTGTTTAATTGCAAACCTGTGTTTTTTCTCTCTCACTCCAGATCTTATCAGTCGGTATTGCTAATGCTGCCTAGTGACTACATTTCCCAAAGAGTGTTCTGTGGAACACCAGTTTCTTTGGCCACGGTGGTTAGATAATTCTGGGAAATAGCTACTTCTTGTTATTCTTGCTGCAGACTTTTCAGAGCCTTGAATGTATTGAGCTGAGCATGATGAGTCTCTGAGAAGGAGCTGGCATGTCATATTTCCCGACACTTACTTGATCATGTAGACATTTTTGGGGACTGGGGTTCCTCAGCTTACACTTTGGAAAATGGCTCCTGGAGTGTGCGCTGGTTAGGACCTGAACTCTGTAGTCAGGATTTAACTTTTGGCAGTCATATTCCTGCTGAGTGACTGTGGAACAGTCATTATACCTCTCAGGGCCTCATGTCCTCATCTGAAGTCCTTTCTTCTCTGTCCTGGGGCCTCCTTGCCTCCATCCACCCCTCTCACTTTTTTGTGAAGGAAGGCCTGAGCCTCCCCACCTAGATTTGAAAAGGAATAATAATATCATTATTATAATTATTTTTTGGTAATTACCAAATAGTTATGTGTTCGTTATATGTTTTTGTACTGTTTGGGTTTTTTTTTTCCAATACAGAGTCTCACTCTGTTGTCCCCGCTAGAGTGCAGTGGTGTCAGTCTAGCTCACAGCAACCTCAAACTCCTGGACTCAAGCAATCCTCCTGCCTCAGTTTCCTGAGTAGCTGGGACTACAGGCATGTGCCACCATGCCCGGTTAATTTTTTCTATATATTTTTAGTTGGCCAATTAATTTCCTTCTTTTTTTTTTTTTTCTTCAGTAGAGATGGGCTCTTGCTCTTGCTCAGGCTGGTTTCGAACTCCTGACCTCGAGCAGTCCTCCTGCCTCGGCCTCCCAGAGTGTTAGGATTACAGGCGTGAGCCACTGTGCCCGGCCTGTTTGGGTTTTTAATGTAATATAGAAAAGGAAATCTCCCGTGATCCTCATCTGCAGAGTTGTGAATGGGGACAGGTATAATCTACCACATCTATTAGTACTGTTTGCATATTTTTATGAAAATCAGGCCATGTTTGAGTTACTGATTCACAGCTTACTTCTGTTTCAATTAAGGGTGTCCCCTGGACCTTTTCCCAGGCAGGAGGCAGATAGGTCTGCGTGTGGTTGGGGCAGAACTGCCCCGCTCTTGTCCTGCCACCACATGGCCCCCCTTCACCATACTGGGAGTCTTGACCTGTTTGGGCATTCACAGCAGCAGAGGGAGGTAGGAAATGCCTGGTGTGTGATTTTGTCAACTCTCCTGTTTATTGGGATAAGGTCACCCAACCGGGCCCTGCCCTGTAGGAGTTTCCTGTTGGTTTTGAGGAACTCTGTCCCCTGGAGAGAGGAGGCCTGACCCGAAGTCTCTCATGCTGGGCAGCCATGAGCAGGAAGCAGCAGGTCCTGCTTATCTGGGATCAGAATTCCTCCTCCCTTCCAGGGATAGCTTGGAGGGAACAGCGGGCCAGCTGCGCCCTCTAGGTTGTGGCTGCTGCTGTCTGCCTGAGGCAGGCCTGGATTGGGGGCTGGGGGACACACAGTTGAGTCAAGTTGAGTGTGAGTCATTGTGTTTGCCTGAGTCTGGCCCTTTGCAAACCTTCAGAAACAGGCAGGCCCTGACTCAGTTTACCCTTGCAATACCTAGAGCAAGCTTTGGTTTTGGTCCTTTTGGAATGCTCCTTTCAGATTTTAGCCCTGAGGGTGGGCAGGTGAGGAGAACAGGAGAACCCACCCTGTCACCTAGGTCAAAGATGCTCTTTTGGGAGCATAGATGACCTCATGATGGGCTTTGGCAAAAAAAATTTTAGGCCTGGCAGCCTTGCTTTGTGGAGCTGGGAGAGTGTTGTTTGTCAGGTTTGAGCTGGGAAAGAGATCTTTGCTGGAATTCCTGCTGTCTCACCTCACCTGGTGGTTTTCCCAGGCTCACTGTCCTGGCCCTCTCCCTCTTGCATGTTTCTTCCTCTCGTTCTTCCCCAAGAGTCTCTTCCTGCTCACACGAGACGATGCCTGGCAGGCAGGAGCCCTTGGAATAGGCCACTGCTTAGGTGATGCGCAGCTTCTCCAACCTCTTCCCGGCAGCGGTGCCTTCACAGCCCGGGTCATCCTCAGCACCGTGTCTGAGTGTCAGGTGGTCTGCTGGTCACTGCCTGTGTGTGCTCGTCTTACCCTTGCCACCGCCTTGCGTGTGAGGTCACTTCACCGTTTCACAGACAAGGAGACCGAGGCCCAGAGGGATGAGGTCTCTTGCCCAAAGTTGTACAACTTACAGGTGGCAAAGCCAGGAGTTGAACCCAGGCCTGTTTGGCTTTGCAGTCTGTGCTCATTCTACTCTGCCCTCCACTGCTGTTTTTTTCCTAGTTTCTCAGGCTTTGCATGGTGCTTCAAGGTCACGTGGGAGCTTGTTTAAAATACTCTGCCCGCTAGGCCCACCACCACAGACCCACGGAGTCTGTCCTGGAGGGCTGGGCCCAGGAGTCTGCAAGGTGAAGAAGCTCCTGTGGCAGTGGTGAGGCTAGTGGGCTGCGGACCACACTGAGAAACACTGGCCAGAGTCTACTCTTTCAGTCCTGGTGCTCCCCTCTGGGGAATGAGTCCATCCGCTGCCAGAACTGATGCCGGTGGGTAGAAGCAGGGCTGAGCTCTCCTCCAGGACTGGGGCTGGATGATTGTGTTTTAGTGGTTTTACTCTGTGTGTGTGTGTGTGTTGGGGAGGCGGGGACTAAACCTTCCTTCTTCAAGGACGTGTGGGGCCGAGTATAAAAGGACTTTTACTCCCAGCCACAAATGTTCCCAGCTGTCTTTCCTGATGCATTTCTACGGCATCTTGAGTCTTGCAGCAAGTTCTTCTACATCTAAATGTCTCTTGAGGGCTTAAAACCTCAAAATTAAATTGCCTGCTGCAATAAAGCCTCACGCCTAGAGCATCATTCCACTGGAGTAAAAGTGGCTGTAAAATTCCACGGCTTTCACATGCCACCTGGACACCCTAGAGGTGCAGCTGCCAAACCCGCGCCCTCTGACAGGCAGCATGACAAATGCACTGACCAGCAGCGGGGGCGGGCTGGGCGGGAATCCTGGCCCTGCGGGCACCTTGCATCTCCAGCTGGCTCCCTATGTCGGTGGCCCCGGGTGTCAGGCTCCCCCTCAGCCAGACCCCTCATTCCTCCCCCTGACCTGCCTGGGATCTTAGCCGAAGGTACCTCTGCAGCCTCTCTGGGTGCTTGTGGCCACATTTCATAACCCATCTGGGAGGACAGTGCCAATAATGTTCATGGCAGTTAGTACCTGTCTCCCAGATCCCTCTGCCCCAGGGGCCCAGACCTGGACTTTGGCTCCCTTCCAGAGTTTCCTAAAAGTGGGACATAGGAGATCAGAGACATCTGAGTGTGGCCTGCTGGGATTCCCTTTGGAGCCCTTGTTCCCATGCATCCCTCAGAAAAAGGTTCTTCTTCTGGGAAGCAGCTCCAAGGGCCTGGATGCACAGGCAGGCCCAGGAAACCTGTTTGCCTTTGAGGCAGGTTGGCACAGTGGAACGTCAGACTTGGGCTGGAACTTCCCGCCCTCTCCTAGTTGTGTGGCCATGGGCAGGTCAGTTAACTTCTCTGGGCCTCAGACTTCATACCCGTAAAGGGACTGATACAACCTACCATGATGGTAACAGCAGCTAACATTGCAGGGTCTTGCCACACGGCAGACGCTGGTCCAGAAGATTTGTATGGACTTCCTCACTCAATCCTCACTGCAACCCCATGAGCAATACATGCGTCAGCCCACTTTACTGATAGGAACGCAGAGCCCAGCAGGTGAAGGGACTTTCCCAGGGTCACACGCTGGTGAAGTAGAGATCCCCCTTCTGGCCTGCTTGGAGACTGGGAGCTGAGGCATGGCTGCGTCAGGGCTTAGTCTGTGTTCAGTAGCTGGGCACTCCAGCACCTGCCTGGCAGTGCAAAGGCAGGCCTGAGCCTGCGCCTCCAACTGGGCAGGCTACCTCTGTGTGCTTGGCTTACAGAGCTGGTGGGGGAAGCTCCAGGTGGGTCACCCTTGCCTGTCACCCTTCACTGAGAAAGGCAGGCCATGCCCTTGCCAGTTGGCATGAGGATGAACCTGTTGAGGAAGCCCAGCCCAAGTGAGAGCAGTTTGCAACTAACTCTTGTTCCCCTCCCCCTCCGGCCCTGCCTGTCTCCCCTCTTCCTTTCCCCAGGAAGTGAGGGCGTGCCCTTCTACACAGGGTGAGTCCCAAGCCAGGCAGCACCCCCAGCCCGCAGCCTCTGACTCACCCCAGCTGGGTGTGGAGCCTAGAGGGCAGCACACTGCTCTGGGGAGGGTGGGAGCTGTGTGTGCCAGATGAGGGGTGAGACCTCTTCTCCCCCTCCTGCCTCTGGGACCAGAGGAAGCACATGGCAGAGCAGATTCACAGGCCCAGAGGCCTCCTGGGACGGGACCTCTTGAGAATGGCCCTTCCCCCGTCCCTGGGAGAGTGTTGGTGGGACAGCCTTCCCATCCGTGGTACAGGAGGGGCGCCTGCCTCCCGCCTCCCCTCCTGCCTGGGAAATCTTCCCGTCTTAGCCCTGTTTGTGCTTTAACAAAAGGCTCTCTGTGCCCTGTTTACCCACAGCCCGCCTGCCTGCCGCCCAGGTGTGGGAGCCACGCCAGACCTCTGCAGACCCACGTGGGGTTTGGGGAAGGCCTGGGTGGTCTCCCTCTGG